TTTTTTTTAGGAAAACATTACTGCAAGTATTGTTCCAAATACATGTGTCACTAATGTCCTAGGGAATGCCTTCATTTAATTTTCTGTGAATGCAAGAGGTGTTACCATATAGTATGTAAGAAATTACTGTAGACTGGTTTGCAGTACTTGTATTCTTTTGTGTTTACTTCAATCTACATTAATATTCATGCATCTAACTTACAAAAAGGACCATTGCATCCTCTATAATAAATTTGAAAGAGTTAAAATTGTCGCATAGAATATAAATATAATAATGGATATATTTATGTGTGTGGTAAGTACATACATGCAAAGTCATTAATTTATCAGTTGGGTAATTTGTGGTTTTTAGAAATAAAATTACAAAGCTTTTAATTGTCATTTATAATTAAATTTACTGTGCATGTACTTGTAGTTTCTTTATGGCCATACATTTCTTTAAACAATTATTAGATTTTATTTTGGGTTATTGCTGCTCTTATTTATATTTTCTGTTCTTGCTCCAGTGGTGCAGTATCTCTTGACGGGTCACTTCCCTCCTAGGAATGAAAAAAATGTAATTAGAAAGTTTCATTTCAGAGGTCAACCATTACTAATTTAGTTTATTCTACAAATTTTTTTCTTAAAAACGTAGCACAGAATAACTGAGTAGATATCCTCTGTACCAGCTTCTTCAAAGCCTTTGACATGGTAAACCATTACATATTATTTCACACTTCAGAAGAAATAGGCATAACAGGTTCCTTCTTGAAATAGGTAAGTAATTACCCGAATGGAAAAATTCAAAGTATAAATCATTTGTGTGTAGAGATATTTATATCTCTTCTGGGATTCCTCAAGGATCGCATCTTGGACCGCTCTCATACTTCATATTAGTAAATGATTTTAAAAAAGGCTTGCCCAGCTCAACATTTTTTGCGTGTTGCGGGTTCAGTGATGTAACAGTTCGTTTATCAGACTGTTATACCAAAGTTCGCGGGTTCAATCCCCATTGAAGCCATGGATTTTGGAGGGCAAAAAAAATCCTTCCTACGCCTCTCTTCAGAGGGGAAGTAAAGCCATCTGTCCCATGTTGTAGGTCCTCAAGCTTAAATGACGCCTCTGAGCAAAATTCAAAATACCTGTTTCATCACCCGAGTGATACCTCCTCTTTCCCAGACAGTGAAATAAGCCTAGTATAATTTGCATGGTCAGGTGGAAGAATAGACCTCACGGCCTGAGCCTTGCCAGAAAATAAGGCATCATTAAACTGAATTTAATTGTAACTTTTTATTATTTGTCAACGATCTAAAATTGTACTGTTATTAATTCTATACATGATTGTATGAAACTACAGTTAGATCTTGATTTGATATCGCACTGGTGTGATTCAAAAAATCTAAAATTGAATGTTGGAAAATGTACGTTGATGTCATTTACTGGATCTAAAAATTCCTATTGTATTTAGTTATAATTGTGTGTTCGATAAAGTTTCTCAGTTTGATGGTCTTGATGTTATATTTGACCCTAAAATGAGTTTTAAATTTAATGTTGGAGCAGAAGTCGATATATCCAATCATATGTTAGATTTTGTGAGGTGTTTCCAAATTCACCAATATTAAAACTTTATACATCTAACTCATAAGACCTATTTTGTTGTGTGCATCTCAAGTTTTGTTCCCTTTTTCGCAGTTACTTATTTCTAAGCTCAAGTCTGTTCAGATACAAAGTTTTCACATTATTACACTGAAGTTGCTACAACTTTAAACTTAAGCGGACTGCAGTCATATAGAGATTATTTTGACCTGAAATTCTTATATAAATTACCAAAATATGGATTCAATCAAATAATACTCTTTTAATTCCTTGGAGTGCCCTTGTATGATCAAAAGAGAACATACTGTTTACCATTCTTTGTGCTTAAACTAACTCTTACTTCTATTCATCTTTGTCGAAAATGTATAGGCCAGCAAATCGAAATTGTGTTAACATGTTCTCTCCTATATAGCAATTTAAAATATTTTTTACATGGTTATGACATGATCTTTATAAGTTCTATTCTGCTTTGTATACCTCTTGTATTACTATTTGTAAATCTGACTTTTGCTATGGAATGACTTATGTTAATATTCATCATGTTCTTTAGAAGTTCTACTCTGCTATGTTTACCTCCTTGTTCTGCTATTTGTAAATTTGATGTATCTAATTGTTTCAACGAACACATAAATAAAAAAATATTTGCATTATAAGTTTTATATAAGTGGTACAATCTTTTATTTAAAAATTGCTCCATTATGTCTGTTGTCAGTCAGAAAAACAGTTTATATTGCATATTTTCCATTGTGAAGGTAGTTATGTGTGCCTAAACACAGTTATTTTTAACACAAATTGCAAGTAACTAGAATTCAAACATTTCGATGATTGTTACAACCTTTTCCAACCCTGTTTCGTTTTACTCTTTCTCACCTACTCTATCTTTATATTGTATCTTTATATTGTAAGTATTGGGTTACTGCAGTAAAAAGTGACCATTTTCCAGCATAAAAACTTTGAATTGTTTGTCCCTGATGTCGAGAAAGTTGATCAATCTTCCTCCTATAAGTAATAACTTACATTCTCTAATGTAGTCCATTCTCTAATCTGTTGTGTAGTTAGAAACATTGTTGTGTGTCCTTAGTAGCGAAAAATGGCTTTAAGGGAAAATGTTCATATATACCTAGAAATTTGTTTATTGTGTTTGTTTGATCATGAGTCTGTTTCGGTTCTTGAGTCCCATTTAGACAATTTTCTCCAAAACTGACATTTCCCAATTGATTTGGCCAAACTCTGGGCCCTGTGAATTTGAAATGGAGATTTTGGTGTTTATAGGTATGTTACATGAAGACTCAACGTTTTCAAAATTTTCTCTTGCCTTAATCAAATCTGCTCTAAAAAATTATCTCTTTAAATGAGGTCAAGTAATATTTTTTGTGAAAATGAATGATTTTCCTGTAATTTTTGCATAGAATAAAGACAATTTTTTTTAACTATAAAAAGTGGCTCCAATTTTGTCTGATTCCCCCCCCCCAGCAAATTTTAGGTAAAATATGTGCCTGAATTTCCAGGCTCTGTAAGCATACTTGCTCTATCTGAGAACATTATTTAAGGAAATAAATTTTACAGAAACAATATTTTGCTGCAAACCAATTTTTTGGTATCAAGAACCCACAAAATATTGATTCTGACTACACAACCATAGGCCTCCACAACATAATACAAGAGGGAGGGTAAGTATATTTCTGGACTCTATTTTCCATTAAACTTTATTATTTATATATGACTGTATTTTACTAGAAAATAAATAAAAAATACTACAAAGAGAATGAAATTATAACATGAATTATGCTATTAATATATACAATTGATTTTATTCTAATCCATTTACAGGATTACCAAGTGCTTTTAGAGGGCCTCATCCCCAGATGTCATATAATAATTCCCCAAATTCCCATGGTAAAAAGAGAAATATTAAGGGTTGTACGTAGGCCTACTTAAAGAAATAAAAGGTTTTATTGCAGAAGGCAATAGGGCCCCTGTGAAAATTTTCCCCTGCACCTTCCTCCTGTGCGCACACCCATGTACACAGTATTAGAGGAAGCAATTTACTACATATAGGAGCAATAATTATTCACTTTTCTGTACAGAATATGCATTTTTCCATCCAAAATCACTCCTCTTCACCGCGTTACAATACTACATTAAGTATTGTATGGTATAATACATAAGTAGTAAAGAGAAAGTAAAAAGAGGAAAGAAAGAATAAACAAGTCTCTGAAGTAGTAATAGCAGCTGATATCACAAATTAATTAGGAAAAAGAGTTAAAATATATTTATAGAGAAAAGAAAAAAACAAAAGTAAGATTGATTCATACCAGTAATTTTCCTTTTTATGGTAATACCATGCCTTTTCAAAAAACAGAAATACGATAGCCAGAGCAATGCCTATCCCAAAGATCACTATTGCTGATGTAACATGTATCAAACTTGCAGATGAATACTTTGGTCCGGAAATACATTGACATGGTGGGAAGTTTCTCTTTTCTGCACTTTTGAATAGACCTGCTTCTTGCATACGCAGTAACCTGAAGATTATAAATCATTAAAAGATATTAAATTTGATGCACAAAATGTTTAAATGTATTACCAAACAGTTTCAATTTGGTAATTTTCATGTAACTAATTTGAATCTATATTTATATCTATTTTCCTGTAAATAAAAATTTTATATTCCTATGATTGAAAATAGTTTGAATTATAAAATTAATATTAGTTAATGAAATAAGCCAATTAATAAATTATAATGCAAACAGATTAATGTGAAAAATTGTTTTCTTTTTTTTTTTTAATTTTTAGCTCACTTTTTAACGACTTGGGTATAAAGTGACCACTGTGATTGTTTTAACTGTAGGGGAACTTAAAAGAAAAACATAAGAACAACACGAATACACACAAACATCCATGCCTGAGGTGGAATTTGCACCCCCAATCCTTAGGGCCGAGGCAGCTACAACCCTTCAGCCTTAGCAACCTCGGCTATCCGGGCCGACTGAAAAATTTTTATATCATTCAAACTGCTTCTTTTTTTTCAGTTCAGACAAGCAAAGGAAATTAACCTTTAACGAACTAAATTCAACCAGAAATTTTAATATTTATATTAAGAATAAGAAAAAGTAGTGCCAAGTTCTTACCAATAATTAAAAATATCAATAAATGGGGAATTTTTGGCCATAGCAAATGCTTTGTAGTGATCAGTTCCTGGAACAGCTGCAAGGGTGATTTGGCATGCATCTTCATTCTGCAGTTTTGTTGCCATATAATATTTAATGGGATACTGAGTTGCCATTGCTACTGATTTTTCTCCATTAATATGTTCAAATAACATTTTTAAGTTGTGGATACGATTGTGTTCTTTGAGCAGTGAAGTAGAATATAGGCTTATAATGGCAGGATCTGATGACTTCTAGAAATGGAATAATTCAAGTTACTCCTTTGTCAATGAATGCTCAGATTGCTGTGATTATCATATAGATCGCAACTCATACTTGAAACATTTCTGGTATTAGACCATCCCAATAAACCGCAAAATCAGCTTTCATTCGATTTACATCTGTAAGTTGTACATGAATATCTTTGCCTTGAATTGCTAAAAGAGATGTTACTCCTGCTGCAAATGCAGTGTATAACAAGTACATTGTGAGGTATCCAACAATAAAAACAACACTGCAAGAAGCTCCATGGGGTTGTTCAGTACATCCTGGAATGTAATTTAGTATGTCAAGTAAATTATATTTTATACTGAAATCTTATACATTGAGTTTTTGACACAAACATCTGTTTTGTATTGATAAGTATTTGTACATAACCAAAATAAAAAAAGAAGTATTTATAGAAAATTATTTTAGTAGTGTAAAAGTTTTAATAACATTGTGTAAGAAGAAAACAATATATTTATTACTAAAAGTATTTAATTCATTATTTTAAAATTTTAATTGTTAAATATGCCCATGATCCATACTAACTATGTGAAGATATTAAATAGATAAAAAATACATTTTGATTATAAATCCATACCATTTTACTGGACAGACATTTTATAAAAAAGAGGTATTACATTGCCCCTTTTTGTGTAGCATAAATACAAAAATGTATCACTATAATTATTCACAAAAACCAAAGATTTAGTGGAAGGGATAGAGCAGTCTCAAAGGAGATGAAAATATCATTGACGGAGAATGAACAACAACAGATTGCCAAAATTATACTACTTTGTTAGATACTATTTTCAATTGGGTACTCAGACAAGAGAAAATTAAAATTGAAGTAGATTTTGTGCACTTATTTACAAAATGATAACAACAACAATAACAATATATAGCTCATGTCTTTTAAGGAAATAATTACCTTGTTGACAAGTTGCTGCAACAATCCACAAAGCAACTTGCATTCCTCCCCAAGCCTGAATATTCTCTGTCAGTTTAGACTCAAAATGCATACAAAAATACAGGCACATGGGTAGAAGAGCCAGAATAAATATAAAACATAGCCACAGAGATTTCCTAAATGTAAGAACAAATACATCTTGGGTGACTGGTAATCCAGATGCTTTATATACTAAAACACGTCTGCAATAGAATTAGATTCAAATCAAAATATGGGAAATAAGACATTGTTAATTACTATTGCATATTGTCAAAAAATTCTATTTAATTTTCATTTTATGTTTACAGAGCTTGGACTCATACATTTTCTTGTGTCGTGTGTGAAGGCCAAATTAATTGGATTAAATTTATTTATCATGAAAATCCATAAAAAATGTAGACTTATGGGGAGAAGAAAAAACCTGTACATGTTTTCTTGAGCACTTTTATTCATATTGAAATAATTCAACATAATTATTCTGAATAAAGGTACTGAGTGTGGTTTACAACATTTGAAAACTTTTATGCTCTAATGTGATAGAAAACTATTTCCATTGGCCAACATAAAACTACAGATTTGATTTTATAGTTTGTTGTCAAAATAACTAATCCTGTCCTTGACTCCTCCAAATATCTAGCAACAAGAGAGTTTCAAGAAAATGTGCACAAGTAGAGAAGTCCAGTCCAGAAGCAAAGCATGGTTTTATTTGAGCATTTGTTCAATGAATCAATATGATCTTAATGGATCAAGAAAAAGATCAACTTGTTAAAAAACCAGATTGAGATTGAGTCACTAACCCAATGCTGAATTACAAAAGTTGTTACAAGCATGTTAAGTCTTTTGTCATACAATAAAAATGATAATTAATGTATTAATTTCAGAATTAATAATTTTTTGGTTTGATATTCAGTACAGTCTAAATTATAAAGAAACAGTTATGCAGCAGAAAATATTTTTATTGGCATTTAAACTTGTGAATCAATTTGAATAGTATAATACCATCTGGCATTATGTTGTAAAATAACATACATGTATTATGCAGGCTTTTTGTAGTGAACTGTTGATACTAATAAATGCGATTCCTATGATATGTGTTGTATTAAATTATAGATATATTGTATGAAAATGTGTTTCCACCCTATGGTGGGAGGTAAGAGCAGCCTCTGAAACTTTCAAAATTGGAACACTTAAATTTTTTTCAAAGAAAAAATTAGTACACATAAGCTGCACAGAAAATTTACTCAAAATAATAATTCAGTCCTAATGATGTAAGTCACCCTGACAGAAGGGTGACACCATGAGTTTCTGCTAACTGACTTTCAATGGGGCATCCCAAATAATGATTCTCCAGATTCCAAAATATTTGTTCTCTGCGGGGGTAATGGTTCCTCCTGCTCCCTCCTCAGTCTACAGTTTAATCTTAGAGAATAAACTGGTCCTAACATCTAAGAGTAATAGTAAAGATAACATTAATTACATTTATCCCTCTGACCTAATTGCACAATTATTTTGTTTTGTATAGTGTATTTAGCCATTATATATCCCAAAAAGGGCAATTGGCCTCGGTGTTGTTAGATCCCAGAGTTCCTAGATGGTCACCCAACCAGGAACCCGTAATGTTCGAATTTGCTTAACCTTCGTGACTTAATGTAGTTTGGCTAGCGATGTGGGTTTTGCAGTTGCAGTCTTTCAATAGAATGGCCTGGATGACCAAGGGAAACCAGAAAAACTGCGGTCAGAATGTTGGACGTGGGGATTGATCCTGGACCTCCCGAACGTGAAGTCAGAGCGCTACGCACTGAGCCACTTTGCTCAGTACAATTAGGTTAACTAAGTATTAGAAGCCTGCCTTTGGGGTAGGTCAGGTGGGTGGAAAAGAGTCAGTATGTGTGAAAAAACATAAATATTTCAAGTCAATGTTTCTTATTTATTTATAATAATTTAAGTAACAGTAGTTTTTCAGTTGAGAATGTAATTCCTAAATCTCGTTTTAATCAAATAAATAATATTTTAAATTTCATAACTGCTAAGTACCATGTATTAAATTAATTTTGTGACATGTTTCAATGATAGATTTTGCTGATGTTTTTCCCCTACTCTCTGCTTTGATAATTTCAAACATTACTTCCAGTAATTCTACAGCTCTGCAACATTAATTTCATACCTAGTGCAAATTTACTACTATTGAAATTCAACGGACAAAAATCATTTCTGCAAAAGAATCATATTGCCATCACTGAATTCTTACTTGGTATGCAATGTGGAATGAAGAAAATGCACTGCACTTGAGCGAGCAGCATTCACTGTAGGGTGACATATAACTAGATCAGCTAGATCCTCAGTCAGCAATCCTATGAGTCCAGTCCATTGTCCATCATTTAATGTTCCCCATTTATTTCTACCAATGGTATGAGCTCTGGGACAAATAATGCATTTATAACACAAGTTTATGTATTTTGTAAGCACTCAAGTGCATACTCACTTTATGTGTAAATGTTTTATTAATATTTTAATAATTTCAATGCTGTATCCTCCCAATAAATGTATTTCATTAGAATTTTCTTCTACATATAACTCACAGTCACAGCTATAATCTGATTTTCCCTAAAACATTTACATATATATAATATACATATTAGAGTTCCCTTATAGTTTTGAATTCGTTTATTGATACCATTCATAGAGATGTAACATACATCATCATGAACTCTGTACACAGTTTCATTTTGAAATTATTCATTTAGAAGGGATGACAACTTACATAAAGAATTACACTGTTTTAAAAGAGTTTGAAATACAGAAATACATTTTATAATTCATTGAACAAATTTTGAAAGTAAATATTGATATACCTGTGACAAATTCTGAATGTTGAATTGTGAAAATTGTAAAATGTGATGGTTTGTCATCATCTCCCACATCATATTGAAAATAACTGAACTAAAGAACAAACATCAATTCACTTAATTAACACTACTTTTTGCTTTAATGTGTCATTACTCATGTCAATTAAGTATGTGAGTGTTCTTGACATTTCCTTACCACAATACATTAAGAAACAGGAGCACAAGTAGTGAGGCAGATAATTTTTCTCTATTTTATTTGTCCCTTCATTATCGTGGATCTTTTATTGATATTTACAGACGTCTTATTATGAATTCCCAAGCAAATACATATGTGATAATATATCCAAAAGAAGTGCTAAACTAAAAGACTGGACAAGATGGCTCTAATACCAAAAGTGAAAATTGTTAGCATTATTGATGATATCAACAAAATAAATCAATAAATATTAAATATCAGTTTTTTGTTACATTTCTTTCCGTTTTTTTTTTTTTGATATTGAATTCAATGTCATATTTTGTTCTCTGAATTCTTTAGATATGCTATTGAGGTACTTACCAACAACACTCCTACTCTCAAGATGGTGTTTTGTAAACTTTTAGATCTAAGTAATATTTTAGTTTTGTATGAAAAATGTGTTATGTGTTTTAATGGCAAGCTATTCCACTGGACTAACTTTTGAGCATGAATACTTTGATTTGATGATAATTTGAATACATCCCAGAGAATAATATTTGTATGATTCTTCTCTACAGTTACTACATTTATATTGCTGTCTGCGTATGCCTAACAAAGAAATTATTAATCAGAACTTTTATAGGTTATACAATAGAAAGTAAATAAATTCATTAAGCGATTTCCTGCGAAATATAAACATACCTGAAGAGGCCCAAAAATGTTCTTTAGTTCTTCAGTTAGAGAGCGACTGCTGTCAATTTTTATATCAAAATTTTCCATGGATAAATTGAAGAAAATCCACCAGGAAAAGTGCTTATTCATCATTCTTTGTTTGCTAGCCTAAGATAGAAAGTTTATACTTACTTTCATGATTGATTGATATTAGTTCATAAATGTCTCATTCTTTTTATTATTATTTTACCTCTTTTAGAAGGGCCAGTGAATACTGGCAGGGTTGAATAACAAGTACTGGGAGAAAAGAAGCTTTAATATTTGGTCTCAGTAAATCTTTAATCTTCTTCTTCTCAGTAATAATGTTCACAAACACAAAATCACCAAAAGTGTTTCTCCAAATTGTCTGTCTGAACAAACCTTTTGAAAAGAATTAGAGGAATTCATTCAAACATTTTACTGTTTTGGTTGAATTTTATACAGGCTAAAGAGAATAACTGATTATATTATTTACCATGTTGCCTGCAAGGTAACACTGCAACTTCTTTCCACTCTTGCATATGAATTATGTGTTTAAATATTCTTAATTCATATTCATAATCATTAAATGAAAATGCAATGAATATATTTTGTAAAATGAATATCACAGTCACAGAAACTCTCATTGCCTGGCTGGAAAATTATCATCTGAGGTTCTTGACCAAGAAATATTGATTTCTTGAGTAAATTTGGGATCCCTGATCTATTGACACAATGAATGTGTAAATATACTTGTGAAATTGGATGGTATAGATTTTCCATCATAATTTTAACATTGATTTTTAAAAACATAAGACTATTGTTCTAGTTAACAATGTATGCACTGTCTCTTGTTTTAAATATGTCTGCATTATCTGCATAATATATCTTGTGAAAGTTAGTTCTCTTGTTGTTAATGGTGCTTGGGAAATGTTTTTCAGTAATCAAATATAGATACAACAACTGTGAAATCTTCTATTAGTAATTATAAATGAACAGTGATCAACAATGGCCCAAAAAGTAAAAAAAATGGATAAAAACAAAGTAAGTAGTACTTGAACATACTATGTTACATTACTTCACATCTCTTAATATTATTTTATTTTCAGGTCTACTTATTTACAGTTGCAATCTACTTAATAATATTCATTGAATTCTGTGAACGAGTTTCATTCTGCGGAATAAAAAGTAAGAGAAGATTGATCTTTAATATATACAAATACCAATGTATGAAGAGCTTTATTAACTTTATATATTTTGTTTTCAGCTATACTTTCACTCTATCTTACAAACATTTTAAAATTCTCAGAAAAATCATCTACTCTTATTTATCATATATTCATTACGTTATGTTACCTGTCTCCAGTAGTGGGTGCTTTGTTTGCTGACAGTTTATTGGGGAGATTTTGGTGAGAACCACTTCATTTATGTTCACAATATTTAATTCCACAATGAGTTGAAACAATTCAAATATTTTTTATACATTTCAGGACAATATGCTACTTTTCATTAATGTATGCATCTGGAAGTACAATCTTATGTCTTGCCTCATTAACACCAACATCTTTGTATCCTGTGTATGTTGAACCTAATTTCATTCAAAACCATGAATTGTATTTTTTTAAGGAAAAGAAGAATTCATGTTAATCATGTGTTTTATATTTTTAGCTCATTCACTATTTGGGGTCTTGTTCTAATTGCTCTTGGTACTGGAGGTATAAAACCCTGCATTGCTGCATTTGGAGGTGATCAGTTTACATTGGATGAGCAAGATAAACTGAAAGGATTCTTTTCTTTCTTTTATTTTTTTCTTAATGTGGGAGCATTTATGGGGATGTTATTAATACCATTCACACATAAAATAATAGGATGTTTTGGAGTTGATTCCTGTTATCCTCTGGCCTATGGTGTTCCTGCATTTCTTATGATTTTATCTCTGGGTAATTATCGAAGATGTATTCTATAATCTTTCTTCAAATCAACAATTATTGCAAGTAGCTGAGTCAAATGTGTATTATAATATAAAAAAGTATTTTTTAATGTTAAAATAAAAGGTCTAAGTTACTGGTGCATTAAATATGCTACTTGATGATTTAATTATATTTAATGCATAACTTTAGACTGAATTTATTTTCTCTAGATTTGAGTATATTTTTTTCCCTCTAGCGTTGTTTGTAATAGGAAAACCATGCTATAAGATCAAAATTCCAAAAATTAATATCGTCCGGCAGTTTGTAACTTCCACTAAGGTATAGTATTCAATGGTTCCTTCATTCATTAACATACGTCTTTGATCTTGTCAGCATACTCAAGAATACATTTATTTCAGTATGCTCTAGGAAAGATGAAGAGGAGTCCTGATACTATTGTAGAACACTGGCTAGATCATGCAAGAGATAAATACGGCTCAAAACATGTTACAGATATGAAAATCATTCTTCATATTCTGTTTCTTTACATTCCTTTGCCTGCTTTCTGGTGCTTGTTCGATCAGCAAGTAAGTAACATGTGAATTTTTAAAACAGATACACAGTTCCTTTTTGAACATGAGTGGGGGTGATGTGTTGTATTGAGAGATACACCTTGCCATTTTAGTGTGTTGAAATTTTAAATTTTCCAAAGATAGTAATATTTTTGAATTATTACAAAGAAATTCCAGATATCCACTTATTAATATTCTTGTTTTATTAGTTGGATGATCTGTTGTGTAGATAGTGGATAGACTACTCACTGAGTGATTACAATAAATCATCTTTCCAAATTTCAATGATAGGAACCTGTAAAAATTTGCCAGTTGGTTCAAGACAGAAGATTCTCAAAGTTCTAATTGTCCGTATTTAAAAATTGCAATTTTTCACAAAAATCGTGTTTTTCATAATAAAATGTGAACAATCTGTCTGAAGAATGTGTTTTTTAAGATTTATAGAGGATGTTTTTACCTTTAATTTTAATGTTCTCAACTTGCTTGACAAACATACTGATCAGAAGATCCTATAAAGAATTTTCATGGATTTGTCATGGAAATTTGCATTACTTGATATTTAAAAAAATAAATGTCTGCAATATTTTGAGTTATTTAGTGTTAAATAGATAAAGTCAGATGCCTTTTAATTATATATTTGCAACCAGGTGGTAGAAAAGAATTGGGTTAGATGGAGTGACTGAAGAAAATATTCACATACGAATCAATTATATATTATAATTAAACTAGATATTAACACATTGATTTTGATATTTACAAAAACAATTTTCAGAAATAGCAAGTAGTAATATCTTAATAGTTTTGTGTACATTTTCACAATTATACTATAAATAGGTTGGTCAAATCAGTAAGACTTGTTAGATTTTCACCAAATCAACTATGTGGTAGAGGTTTTGAGAGGGTAGGTTTTATTGTGTCTGGGAATAATTTTCAACATAGCAACTGGTTGCAAAACATTGCAATGAGTTGAAATTTTTTTAAACATTTCAAGAACTTTTGTTTGTGGTGTAATCAACTTCTTTGTCCGAACAAGAATGAACTTCTTTGAAAGTGATTTTGCCTTTGACTGCACTATTATCAGGTATTTTTCTTCCTTAAGCTCAAAGAGCTCGCTTAGTTCAACATCACCATCATCATCATCATCATCATCATCATCACCATCACAATCACTGTCTTGTTGAAAATACTAGAATTTTGCAACATGTTGAATTTGTTTTTTTTCTAAGGTTTTATAAAAAAGAAGAGCAAAAGCAACGTCTTCATTAGTTTTTAATTTCTTGTCTACTACACACGGTGATAAAGAAGCGGTTTAAATGTTACAGACTAAATAATGTTTTACCAATTTTTTTCTTTTCACAGCAGCAGTTCACAAAATTCGTGTGCCTTAGAAACACCTAGATTATCAGATGCTTCACTTTCGTCATTCAGTAAAATCAAATGCCAAATACTGTTAACCTCACTCCTCTGGAAATTTATGAAATAAAAAAAATAATTTTAACACTAATTGAAGTGAATGTACTTAATATTGGGGAAAATAGTTGCTGCAATTATATAGTAATTGTCCGGGGGTGAATCCAGAGGCAATTTTGTGTGTGTGTGTGTGTGTGTGTGTGTGTGTGTGTGCGCGCGCGAGCGCGCGCGCGTGCGTGCGCATGTGTATAATATATATCGAAGATAATACAAATAAAAACAAGGTAAATTATTAATCGTAACATACTTAAAAAATTAAAATATTATGTTTAATATTTAATGAATACTTTATAGTTTTAATTTAAAAATCATAATTTGTTATCAAAATCGTAGAATTCAAAGCTGCAAACGACGAAGGAATAAAGTATTATATTTTTCATCCTATGATACAGATGTCAACAGATAGAATTAAATTAAAAATGCATAATATCGATTTAAAAATTAAACATTTGCTTACATACAGACATTACTGTCCAGGACTAAAGAAAGTCTACAGGATTTCACAAAATATGTTTCAAGCATCTACTACTTCGTCGTTTTATTAGATTTCTTACTCTTTTCTTCTTATTTTTTTAAAGATATTTTATTTCTCTTCTGAAGTCTTAGTAACCGCGCCTTCTGGCGCAATTAAGCGATCCATGCCCTATTCTTTTGTTTTGGGCACATTGTAACTGCGCGAAATGTCACAGCGACCCATGATCATTGATAGTCGCTTGGCACCTATTGAGAGATCCATTTCCGGTTGCGTCGGCCACACACTACGACCTGGAAGTCGCCGTAGCACCGCTTGTCAAGCCTATGGTCAAGCGGAGCAAGAAAGAGATGTGAGTTGTCACATGCCTCTGGAGAACAGTCGAAGACATTTTATATACGCACCACTGGGCTAAAATACAGTGATAATCAGGAATCTCATTCGTAACTAAAAGGCTGAGAGACCGCGCGGTTATTTTCTCGATAAATTTAAGACGTTTCTACAATTTGTCTTGTGTTTCTCATTTTTATATTTCCTACACTTTCAACATTTTAATTTTTTCTCTAGACCTTTGAGAGGCATATCCCCCTCTATCCATCCGCCACTGCGATTACATCAACAAAAGAGCTTGAGTTAAGGATCTGAATTTGTTTTGATAAAAAAAAAACACACACACGTCACTTTTCTTTCATTTTAGGACATTTTAAAAACATTTTAAGAGTATTTTATTGACCATTCTTGCGATGTTTTAGGCAGGGTTGCCATATTAAAATGCTCAATCCAGGACAATAAGAAATGGATAT